ACACTTTTCTGAGAATAGAATATTGAAGTGGAGATCGCTAAACTGAAAGCTAACCGGTGTTTTCAGAAAGCACGCGCGTTTATCCTCTGTGGAGAGAGAGAGCGCGTGCACATGGTTGCCAGGTAGACAAAGATCAGTAACACACTTAGCAGATATTTCCGTATTGCGCAAGTGTGAAGCTCTGTTTCAGGGATTACGTCTCTTTATATCAGGCAACCCCGGTTGTGTTCCTCTGCGGCCAGATTAAGCCTTGCTGTAGCCTATATATTATGCTCTATTCATTATTTTTTATTCATAGGTTTAGGGTAAGAGGATAGAAAATAGGCATACAGTTTGTACAGTAGAAAAACCATTATGCCTATGGATTGAACACATAAAACATGGAAAACCAACGTGAGTGTGTGTGTGTGTGTGTGTTTTATAGGCGTGTCTCTGTTCTTTCATTTGCAGGCGTGTGGTTATGGTTTCCCCAGAATAACCCTGTGTGTGTGAGATATATATGTATATTAAGCCTCTATGATTTCCGCCATGTGGAAAATGCGGATGGAATCGCAGAATCCAGTCATAAAAATGGAATTTACAGCACAACACAGAATGTAATGGAATCTGGCAAAATTGGTTTGGCAATAAAATATGGCGATATGGACTAGTGTATGCGAATATTAAAGCACAAAAATACTTCTATTGAGATATAAAGTCAGAAATATGAAGTGTGTGAATGAGCACCGCGGGTTTGCTCTACTACACACACTGAAACATGCGTGACGCTCGTCTCTGTCTCAATATATGAACACATGAACTTCATCTCCAGAGCTGATCTGATAGTCATATCAGTATTTAATTTGATAAAACTATCGTCAAATACACACAGAAACTCACTGTTCTTCACTACAACCCACCAAAACAAAAGCTCAGCTTAACTTGAAGAAATTACGACAGAAATATATTACTCTTGTACATTAGAAGTGACAGTAAAGATGTTTATAATATTCCAAAAGATTTTTATTTCAAATAAATGCTGCTCTTTTGAACTTTCTATTCATCTGTGAATCCTGAAAAATCTAATATATCACCGTTTACACAAAGATATTGTGCAGCACAACTGTTTTCAACATTGATAATAATCAGAAATGTTTCTTGAGCAGCAAATCAGCATATTAGAATGATTTCTGAAGATCATGTGACACTGAAGACTGGAGTAATGATGCTGAAAATACAGCTTTGATCACAGAAATAAATGACATTTTACCAGAGATTTTAAATTGGATTAATGTTTCAGAATTTTTACTGTATTTCTTATCAAATAAATGCAGCCTTGGTGAGCAGAAGAGACTTCTTTCAAAAACATTAAAATGTACTTGAGTGACTCAAGTAAAGGTGGTATTCTCTATGGTGGTTAAACTGCTGCTGACGGTCTTTGTGTGTGTGTGTGTGTGTGTGTGTGTTTTAGGGGTCCGTTCAGTGTGGTGCGAAGATGCATCAACAGAGACACTGGACAGCAGTTCGCTGTGAAGATTGTAGATGTGGCCAGTTTCACGTCCAGCCCTGGACTCAGTACAGAGGGTAAGAACACACTCTCTCACACACACACACACACACACACACACACACACACACACACACACACTCTCTCACACTCACACTCACACACTCACACACACACACACTCTCTCACACTCACACACAC